GCGTTCTGGATCGATGTCTCGTGTGCAGGATGCCACGCCAGATGTGCTCCGCGAAGTGGGGTGCAATAGGCGAGGCCAGCAGGCAGCGATGCGGATCCAGTACTGCACCAGGTCGGCGTGCATTCCGATGTCGGCGGTCACTTCGCGGTACCAGTCGCGAGCGGACTGCAACTCGTAAAAGCCGTACTTCAGCGCGTCCTTGTAGAACGTCCTGAAAGGCGAATTATAGCGTGTGGACGGACGAGTTTGAGAAGCAACGCACAGCTCATAGTGGCCCTTGGTGATGTTGATCAAGTTGTTGATCTCCTCCTCAAAGACCTTGTCGTGATACGAGTTCTTCGGTCCCGTGCGCAGGCCAGCGCCCTCCTTGTTCATCTCCTGAACATTATCATAAGCAACGGGCCAATAAGTCGAAGCGAAGAACGAACCTCACACCACGTCAGCAGCGTGTGGACGCGCAAGATGTTCGCGTTGGCGTTCTTCTCCTCGAAATTGGCGTCCTCGATACCGTCTCCGGAATCAGCCAGCGCCAAACGAGTTGCGTCTGCACCGAACTTCTCGACACCCTCGCGCAAGGTCAACGAGTTGCCCTTGCTCTTGGACATCTTCTGCCCGTTCAGCAGCAAGTGGCCGTTCGCGCGCATGCTCAGCGGCCACTTCTCCTCGGGGAAGATCGCGGCGTGGTTGTAGACGGCGAACGACAAGTGGTTGTTGATCAAGTCCTTGCCAGACGAACGCACGTCGAACGGATAGAAGTACTCGTACTCGTGCTTCAAGATGTCGGCCTTCTCCTTGGGCAGGGGAGAGTTGGCGGGCCATGAGCCGTTGACGAAGATATACTCCCAGACCTCGTCGGTCATTTGCTCAGGCTTGATGTCCAGCTTGCCGGGGACCTTGCCGTCAATCGAGCCTGAGCTAGCGTCAGCTAGGAAGTTGGGAGATCAAGTCTATACTTACCATGCAGGAAGTGTGCGACCGTGTAGTAGCACATGTAGATGGTAGAGTCGCTCAGAGACTCGACCAAGAATTGGGGGTCCCATGGCAACACTGAGCCCAAGCCGTACGTGCGCGCGCACGCCCACTGGTTCAGCCACGCCAGGGTGCCCTCGAACGCATTCCGCGTCTCCGCGAAGTACGTGTTCATGCGAGCCAACAGGCTGAACAACGTATTCACATGAGCCCCAGGTTAATGGAATACGACAAAGCACGCACCGCTCGGCCTGTGCCCTCCATACTGTCTCGCCGTAGTCCAGGTACCACTGGTCCATCAGCGCGACGACGCACTCGTCGGCGCTTCGGGAGATGACCAAACCCTCGGGCTCCGCGTACGCGAACGCGATGCCCTTCTCGATCATGCTGGCGCGCACTTTGTTCTTGGCCTCCTGAACGGGCTCTCCTTTGAACTCGCCGATGGACATCGTGCCGTTATAGAAGCCCTCCTTGTACGCCAGCTCCTTTGCCTCGGCCAACTGCTTAATGTCCTTCTGCGACGCGATCTTCAACTTCTTCACCAGCGCAGGCGCAGACATCTCGCCGTATGCAGGAGTCGACAGTACGGGGACCGGGTCGAAGGCAGCCCAGGAGGGGTCAATCTTGTAGTACTCGGCCTTCTTGCGCAAGTCCATCAGAGTAGCGTAGTCATCGGGCGAGTCGGAAGGGACGGAAGTGACAACGCCCGTACCCTATAGCAAGTGGTCAGCCACAACTTAGCACCCAACAGGGCTGACGGACCTTGGTAGGCAAGACGTTGTCCATAGGCAAGACGTATACTTCCGGGTAGACCGAGAACGGCGCTTTGATCTTTGCACCGACGATGGCAGTGCCGTCTAGCTCAGCCAGCTGGTTAACTTGACCACGAACGTCGAAGATGCCCTGGAAAGCCATATTGCGGGCGGCGCGCGTAGTGCAGACGTATGCCTCCTTGTCGTTCGCGGCGAAGACGCCATACTTGATCGCCGTGCCAACGAAACAATTGGTCTGACCGTACCTGTTGCAGCGTGGTCAGTGCAAATTGCAGTTTGCAGAAGTACATCACGTACATGGTCTCGGGCCGCAGAGTTGCAGCGACCAAGAACGCCTTCCGGTCACCCAGCTTGCCCTCCAACGCACTCTGAGCCACCGCGCTCCATTGGACCACCTCCATTTTGATGCCGGTGTATTCCTGGGGTCCAACGCCCTCACCGTCGGAACGGTCGTGATCCATGCAAGGCTGACCATCCTTAGGACTGTAGATGGTATACCGCTCGCCGAATTTGATTTTGCCCAATGCATACAGCTTGTTCATCTGCCAGCGCACAAACGAGTCGTAGTAAGGATTTGCTGGGGTAGTCATGAAGGAGCGGCGCCAGTCTATGCGAGTTCCCAAGGCATGATTGTCCGCCTGAAAACGGCCAATGAACAGCAGCAACAAGGAAATGGGATATATGCTCACCTTGGCGATTGGCGGGAAGTACGTCAACCAGTAGTCCGTGTTCGCGAACTTTTTGATCTCGGTGCGCGGAACGCTGATGGACTCCATGATCTGGAACTGGTACGTGTGTCCAGTGGACTTGGCCGCCAGCTTTCCCTTCTTCGCCTTGTCCGCACGCTGGTCTGTGGGGTTGCCCGACGCAGCCGGGGGCTCCTCCTCCGCCTCTGGTTCTGCCGCGTCGAACCTCTCAAAGTTCTCGCCGAACATCTCAATCTCGCGAATGATTTTGTCCGCAGATGCCTAGCGGAATCATAAGCACAATGCAAATAATATAATTAAAGATGGCGCACCTTGATTGGCATACCCGTTACGTGGAACCCATGAGGGAACAAGACACGCTTTCCCAACAGACGATTGAAACCTGCTGCGAATTCAATCTTGGAGATAGTGAAGGCATGTCCCAGGTGCAAAGAGCCGTTCATGTAGGGGTACGGGAAGTTTCCAAACCATTTTGGGTACTTTTCGTGGATCTCTGCAGGTGTGAGGCCAGCGGTCTCCTCTTGAGTTGGCGCATCCGTTTCGAAGATGTGGTTGGTCTCCCACTCGTCCTGATACTTCTTTTCCAGGGACTTCAAGTAGTCCCGCTTGCCGGTCTACCGAATACCGCCGTTGTCAGCACATGACGACCAAAACGCGAGGAGGACAGTACCTGGGCAAGCTCGATGGTGTTCGACATATGTGCAGAAGAAGAGGAAGGTCTTGATTGTACAGCTATTTTACAGTAGCTCTGAGAGCGTAAAGCGCGGCGCCAAAGGGCGTATATGGTGCCGGATGATGTGGATAGCAGATACAGATCAGTCTTTTTTGCACCGGCCTTGAAATCGGATTGCTCAAGGCCAAAAGCGCCCAATTCTTCCGAGTCATCATTTTCAATTCCTTACCATATATGGTTATTCTTTCCTTTTTCGCTACGGTGGCCAGTGGGACACCGTTCCAAGAGTCACCGTTGCGTCTTGACTCGACACCTGTATGGCTTGGACACAACGCAGCCTATCAGATTTGAGGCAATATTTCCCAGAATTGTTGTACATTCTTGTCCAAGGCGGCTTTTCAAACATGGGACTTCTTTCCGGTACACCTCGTGCGCTGTAAGTCTGCAACCCGATGGTGCGGGTCCCTGTTGACGTGGAGTCCTCAAATGCACGCCACACGCCATGTAAGATTGAGACCTACTGTATAGGCGAGCACCCGTGTATGTCTCGGTCGCGTTCTCCCGCAACGCGTCGCGCGTCGCGGTGCACGTGACAAACGCGTCCGGCGCGTCTCAATTTGGAAGCAGCTGGGCCTGCTGGGCCACGACGGCTGAAGCGTGGTTGCTGTCAGGGTCAGCGGGCGCTTACCCTAGAGCCCAAACAATCTCAACACTATCAACATCAATGCCCGGTCCCCAGAATGCCAAAAAGAAGAAACGCACTCAGCAAAAGAAGAAGCAGCATCATCGCACCAATGCCAAAACACACCACACAACCCTCGTGGTGCAAGCAGAGCCCTATGAACCACCAATAACCACCCTGTCATCCCCTACCGATTCAGATCTCCCACCGGCCATGATAGACGAATTTCGAGACAAGCTCCAGCTTTCTGACGCACCCAAGCAGGTTCCCTGGTCGAGGGACTCGGACGACAGTCACTCACCTCCGGTCACACCTTTCGGCCCACCCGACGATCCAACCCTCATCCTCCTCTCCAAACCCATCATCCATAACCCCGGCAATGGCCCACGCGTGCGCGACATGCGGGCCTTCATCGATTCCTCTTTCGCGCAGCCAGCATGGTCTGATGACCCGCTCTGCGCCGAGTTCGCCCAGCGTGAGGTACTGCAGATGCTCCGTACCGTGCTCCCGGAGGAGACTGCCCTCGTACGCCGTCCCGCAGGGACACCGTTCCTATAACTCCTAATTGCTGACCTTGCGCCCAAAGTGTTGTGGTACAACAAGAGCAGGCGCGTCGGACGCGTCTGCCCCGCCTGCCTCAGGCTATACACCCTAGCAGATGCACCGCCAGATATTTCTGAGCGTCTCCTTTCCGAGCAGGTCATCAGTGGGCTTTGCTCCCCGCTGTGTTTCATGCTGGCGTCATACGGTGCGCCTGGTGCAGCTAAGGTGGCATGGGGGCGCATGGCCGAGGACCTCGACGATGCAACTTGGGACCTACTCGACGGGCCCGTGCAACACGCGCAGGCACAGGGTAGGGCCGACGTGGGTTTGGGAATGTTGCTGAAGATGACACGGCTGCATGATCTGGGCCTCGCACAGTTGTGCGTGCCTGATATGGTGGTTGATGAGGAGATCTACGACGATCGGCGGATAGGGGATGGGATTTCCGACAAGCGCGAGTCATGTACGGCGGGGATGGCAGCCCCGATGCAAGCGCCACGATCTATTGTACGTTGCTTCTGTCTTCGTACGCCATCGATTTCTTACCCATGGCAGTTGCAGCAGACCTGTTTCTAATGTATCGTTATTCAGTAGTTGCTTTCTGGGGTTCTCTACGGACGCTATATAGTGGCCCAGGATTGCATAGAAGACATGCCCGCCTAGCTCAATCGGATAGAGCGTAAGACTTTTACGGCTATGGCATTCACGTGCACCGTGAGATCTTAAGGCTGCGAGTTCGACCCTCGCGGTGGGCTAATGGATCTTTTCTTTTTCGCCTTCCTTTTTGCTCCCAGTCTACCCTCACGACCTCGCATGATCACAGGGTCCCGCACAACTCCCCAAAACAGGAGACAGGTGCAACTTGTCTGTGGCTGGCAGCAACAGTCACGCTATCGCTGAAAGGGTATATTTGCCAATGCCACAAGGTACAACTACATGTCACTACAGAAGCACCAAGATGTCGCGATAGAGGTGCTGCAGCCGTCAAAAAGTCGCATCTGGCCTCAAGTCAATTTCCTCAACAAATCACGCGCAGAAGGAAGACGCGGCATTCTTCGTGGTTCGACCTCGCGCAGCGTAGAGACAACCTCGCTGACAGGACGCTGCACTCTCGTTGCCTCGGCCATCGGCGCTGAGTACACAGGTGGATCTGATGCAGATCGCACAGGAGGGCGACGAAAGAGATGCCGTATCCCGCGCGAAGGCAGGGTTGATGTCCGTGCTAGTTCCGAGCGTGGTATTGAGGCAGAGGCAGCCTGAGTGCGGTTCTGTTGGAGGCGGGCGGATCCCGGCTCGCATGCTGCCATGCTTTGCGCCGCATTCACTCTACTAGACTTAGTTGGAGATATGCCGGTGTCCCTGCCGGGCGAGTTGTTCCGTAGGGCCGTCCGATTACAGTGTGCTGGAGCTGCTGGTGCCATGGCTCCCGTTCTCGTCTTCAAGATGGGCAGCGCCGACTTTCCATGGCGGTATTTCGGTATCGCGGACGCAACAGCTGTAGACGTGGCGTCTGTCGACCGGGGCGTGAGGAGCTTTGCAATGCCACTGGAGGTAGATGCAGGTTCCTTCAGTGCCGAAAAGAAGGCACGTTGGCGTGGGGTCTGCGTCGCAGGGGCAGGGTTGCTGTGGAAGCCTTTCGCCGGCTGTAGGACAGGCGACGTCGAACTACCGGAGAGAAATTCCGGGGCGAGCTGAAGGCATGCCAGAGTAAGAGCATGTCATCTCGTACCACCGATTCATCGTTGACTCACCTTGGGCAGGTATATGCACTCCAAGCTCTGTTCAGATGGCGTGGAAACCTCTTGTAAAGCAGCTGTGGAAGCGCCAGCTTGCACCCCGGGTTCGGGTTCGGGTTCGGGCTCGATCAGGCGGGACTTCTCCTTCGCCACCGGCGTCTCATGTATCTCCTCCTGCCCTTCCGGGTCGTCTGCCAACTCCATCCAGGGGTGAAGTAGCCCTGGAGACTTGATATCATCATCCACCATCTCGCCTTGTCTAGTCGACAGCGACTGCATCGAGCATGTCACCACGATCTTGGGCAGCGCCTGGCCGAGCTCGAGAGCGAGCCGCTCGAGTTCCTCGAGCATGCTGACCATATCGTCTGGCATCCCGCTTGCAGGCACGCGCAGGCTCCACCTGCGGCCATCCGCATCGCAGATCTCCTGCACGAAGATGGTGCCGGACGACGCGCGTTCACGCAGGAGGCTGAAGCGGTGAGGAGCGGGCTCTGCGGCTGGGTCGACAGGAATGATGGACGCGCGGCGGAGGAGCGGTGGCACTAGCCCCTGCGATTTCAAGGTGTGATCTCGGTTCTTAGTAGGGGATGCGGAGAGCTCGTCGTCAAAGTGGAAAGGGTCTTCATCGTCGCTGTCCGTAGGCGACAAGGAATTATCGGACTTGGGAAGTTTGCGGGAGCGGGGTACTTAAGTACTTTCTTCTTCAATGGAGAGCGCCGTTCGCGGGCCGGGTTCTGTCGCGACTTCGGCGGCGTGGAAAGTAGTGGGGTAGTGCGAGCCGCTATGAGTCCCCTGTGGGCGAGCTGTGACGCTGCTTCAACCAGGACGTTGGTCGCTGGTATAAATGGCGCTACCACGGTCCATGTCCTTTCTGATTACTGCCGTTCTAGTGTCATCACAAGGTGAGAAATGGGCACCCCATATTAAACGCGTCAAAACTCACTGGTACTAACAAAGACAGCGGCCTCTGCACGCTGCTAGCGTTGCCTTGGAATTGCGGGTCAATTGCTACTCTGTTGGTGCCCCCTTTTTTCGAGACAGGCCTGGGGATACGGAGAAGAAAATGGGAATTTCGGAAAGAGCCCTTCCGTGTAGGTTGTGCGCTGAGCTCGGTATTCTGAAGAGTTGTAGCCCTTGCTGTTCGGATGGGCACATTACTAGAAACGGTGCTCGCCGGAGACACCTGGGCGTGATCCGAGGTAATCATCGATCAAATGAGCGTGAATCTGGGTCTAGGATGTGCTGAGAGTAAGGCGGCGGTGTGCTAGAGTGTAGTGCCAACTGACATCGCAACTAGGAAAATGCATTGTTGGCAGGTTGCTAAAGGAATCCATATCACGAGTGCCGGAATGCATGAGATATAAGAATGTCACATACATAAGCGAGAGTACAGACGTACTCTACGCGCGGTTCAAGCTCAAGTTAGGCTCCAGTGGGTGGTGATTTGAAGGGATTCCGGTCGCCGTCCATCGCGTCGGTGGTTGGCGCAGGGCCCGGGACTATGCAAGTGCTAGATCCGGATTCTACGACAAGTAGGGAGCGCCACATAAAGGTTGTGTTGGTGCAGGAAAATGAGATAGAGTAGTTTGCAGTAGGTGGGATCGATTCTAGTAGGTAGTAGAGGCAAAACTGGAGGGTTAAAACGCCTCGACCTTGCAAGTTGAAGCAATAATTCTATGTCCCTGGCCGGAGTCGAGCCGGCGGCTTGACGGTACTGTGTAAACCACAACGTCATGATTTAACCACTAATCGACAGGGACCTTGCGATTCCGAGCTTCAGGGCCATCCCACGTGGGACCGAAGTACCACATGCTGCGGACCAGAGCCACAGCTCACTATAAACGCTCATATGTACCAGGAGGCTCAGGGTCGGTGGCAAATACGACCCAAAAGTCAGTCCCATTCGAGACTAACGGCAATTCACTAGCGATCAACACTCTGAGGAAACCCACCCGGCACCTGAGGCGAGTAAGACTCCCCACACTTTGCTGTGTTCTCCATCCTTCAATGGTAGCAGAACCGTGACGCTATCGCCTTGGGGTCTTCGAGCATCAGAATACGGCGCAAGGATGAAGTGAATTCAAGCAGCGTTAAATTTCTGACGTCTGCTCGACAGATGTCCTCGGACACCACCAAGAATAGTTTTCCGAGATGCGACGCGCGCACCAGGCAATAGGCATTTGGTGGGAAAGCGATATGTATGTCAGCCTGGCTAATTGATCGAACATCAAGCACTTCCTAATACACCCTTGAACGAGCAGTTATCGCAAGGAGGCCAGATCAGGTGACCCTGAGCGCGGGAGACAGACTACGAGAACCAGCCCTTGGGTTGATAGTCCTCCTCTTCCTTGATTTCTCCATCTCGCTTCTTCCTTAAGTGTTCCAATATGGCTTTGACACCGTCCGAATCCCCAGCGGAGGCACGACCACTCGTCCAATCCACTACAATCGGCCACTTCAGCGCATGGGGGTTCTTCTCAGCAAGGCGAACCAGCCCCTCGGCAGAGTGGGGGCGGTCAGGTAAAGAAGGCGCGGAAGGGTGTGAGGAGATAAGGGCGGCGACGTGATGTGGGTCGTCTGCTCCGCTCACGAGTGGGAGGTAGCCAAGAATTGTACGGAATTGGTCGGCGGTCGGTGGCACATTCTCGATGACCTCAAGATTGAACTTGAGTGGAGGAGCGGATGCCTTGCCTGGGGGGTAAGGGGAGGATACAGCAGCTCGTAGCATAGCAAGCGCTTGGCTCGAGGGAGGTGACGATGAGTTGTGACTGTGCGGAATCGTATGCGGGATGAGATGAACATTCTATGACACGCGAGGGGCTTACAATATTGATAGCTGAGGCTTATGTACCAAGCCGATTCACATCAGTGAGTCTGGTTGGTGTGGGATCAGGAGCATGTAAGCTTACAACGGATCTCTTGAACGCAGAGAACATGGCAAACAAGCTGGTTAGCTGAGCTGAACGTGGAGAATGGCAAACTGGAGTCGACGTCGAGTCGGAGTCCACTCAGTGACGACGTAACGTCTTCGGCTCATTTCGTCTCATCACGTGGTCGCAGGACCGGGAAATGCCGATACTGCAGCGAGCAACGCTGGCGGCGAGTCGACGACCCGACCGTTGAGAATATTGAATCCTTCCGTCCAATCATGATGCTGTTGCCAACGTGCTCCGTCCGACATTCCTCATCCCACTGCTATTTCCTGTATATAACTACTATGCCCCCCAAATCATACTTTGTCTTCGTCTGGCTTTCGAATTGTAGCTTTGACGTTCGTCATTGGTATCATGAAGCTGACCGGTCAGATTTCACAACGGACTGGCCAGAAGTTCCTCATAAGCTCGCATTTCTCGCCGAAGTATCCCTAAGAACTGTTCTCTGAACATCTTCTGCTTCACAACGCTAACCTGCTCACTAAAATGCACTCCCCTTCCTCCTCTTTCCCGCCTTCCCCCTCCTTCCTTCCTGTCCCCAATGTGGAGAACGTTGCAACCTTCGGTGGTGAGCGTACCCGGAATGAGCGCGAAGTGCCAAAGGATTGTGAGCATCTCTGCCAAGTGCAGCTCGTGGATTATGCTGATTCGCCATGTCTCGATGCAGTGTCCAACGTCTCCGACCGACCGTTGCTGGAGCCTAGCTTCACACTGGTCAAACGTCCTAGTTTCATTACGATGAAAGAAAACGTTATCATCGAAGGACGTCCCTCCAAAATGATTCTCGACTGCCGTAGTGGTCGTATCTCGCTCTATCCCATGGAAGCCGACGAGGTTGATTACCTGTTGGACTCGCTGGAGGTGCCTGTAGAACTCGATCCGAGCCCCAAAACCCCTACTCCGGTGACGCCCATGAAGCCGGACGCTCTGGATTCTGAAGTTACTGAAGCAAAACTTCGAGAGTTCGAAAGGATATCTTCTCACCTCCGGAGGACTCCCTCTACCCCCACTCCCCTTTCGAGGGTCCTACCGGCAACATACGGCACTCCGATGCCTATCCGTCAAATGCATGTTCCGGTCAAGTCCTTCCCCCTCCGACGCTCTTGCTTCCGCTCCATCCGAAGTCCATGGATGCTCCCCACAACATTCAAGATGTATTCGCCTCGAAACCTTTGGATATGTCTCTCTCTACGATGTACGATGCGGCCGTTCCCTTTCGAAGGTTAGCGTCTCTCTAGCCCCAAAGCTCAAGGCTCTTTGCACTCACCCTCCGTGCAGAAAGCGCGCCCTGTTCTTGTCCTCAAGCCGATCTGCGATCCGGTCCCAAGGCCTTCAGCAACCCCTCGTCCGCCTGCCAAGATGCGACGCAAGTCCGCTCTGCCCGTTCGACGCAATGCTGTCAAGCCTGTGGGTACACGCAAGCCTGTCGAGATAGTCAAGCGCAACGCATGGTAAAAGGTGGGTCGTGCATGCACTGACTTCTAGATGCGAGATGTCCAAGGGCGGCCCGAGACGGTTCTTCCCTCGTGAATGGCGCACCGAGCAGGTCATGCATTCCGAATAGCTGCGTCTTCCGTTTTACCTTTCCCCCTGCTGACGACTGCCCCACGCCGCCGAGTCGCGGCGGCGACGTGGGGCAGGCGCCAGTGCCCTGCCCGGCGCACAAACCCCCGAATTCGACACTTCGCGGTGGGGGTTTGTGCGCCGGGCAGGGAATCGCCTCTCCGTGTCTCTCGCTCGTTGATCTGCCTATTTCAGCTTCCCTCTCTCAGCTCTTTCGCTCGCTCTCGTGCACGAAAGCATAACACAAAAACCCCACAAAAACCGCAAAACACCAAAAAGCACTCGATGTCACGTTGCCTCATATCCTTGCGTGTTTTCCTTCGTTGCACTTTCCCTTGGCCGCCCTCGCTTTGCCTGTTTCATTCTGCTCTGCTTTCTCATTTGCCTTCTTATATCGTCCTTGCCTCGTTCCCTCTCCAGCTTTCCAGAAAAGAACAAAACCCCATAAAAACCGTAAAACATAACCCAAGTCTCTCGCATCCATGCCTTAGATTGCCCATTGCGTACTCTTGACCCTCTTTTCTTTGTGCTAATAATTCCGCCCTATCAGCCTTCCTGTCCTCTATGTTACCTTGCTTCATAGCGTTGCCTTCTCCCCTCTACCCCCGTCCGCGTCCCTTCCACTCCTCCATCTTCCGCCCACCTATTACCATCGTTTCATTACCAACATTTTCTTACGTGACGGCTCACACGTGTTATCTTTTGTTTTCTTCCCTATAGGTCCTCCCCCCATCGACATTATCAAGACTATCTAGGTTTCTCTCTCTGTTACTCGGACTGCCTACGGGCGCTTGGCTTTGGCTTGCATCTCTGGATCTGCTCTCTCTGGCTTGGCTCGGACTCTCGGATTGGCTCCTTCTCTGCGCTCTCAGCTCGGCTCTCGTGGTACCCTGGCTCGCTCCCATGGAGGTTGGTAATTGGTCACTCTGCTATTTTGGGGCACGCAGCAAGTTGAAGAGGAACCCCGAGTAGACAATGTCTCGTGCTCTATCGAAGGTACGCAGTCGCTTTCGCATCGCCCTTTGCATCCCCTTTCCCTCTCTCGCCCTTTTCAATCCACTTTTCCACTTCCCTTCCCTCCTGGCGTTAGTGTCTAAAGCATACCGTCGGGTCGCGCCGGCGGTGTGCTTTAGACATTAACGCCTTTTTCCTTGACGGTTCGTTGCGCATTAGGGTTAGGGTTAGAGATTAGATCCACGATGTACGATACCGATCCGAACTGCCTTCAAGGCACTTGCACTGGTGATACGCTCTCTTTTCTCTCCCTTGAACATATTTCATTACATATGTTAACGTTTGCCACTCCGCAAATTCAAAATATCGTGCTCGGCGCGCAAGAGTGCACGGAGCCCCACAGCCTCAGCTCGGAATAGTCTGGTTAGCTACTGCAGCGCGTCCACCGTTGTTCTAGTGTCTTTGTACTCTTCATCCCTGACCCGTCGACGTCACTTACAACTTATAAGGAGGGTAATCTGTGTATCCCTTCGCTTCCGAAGTGTAGAAAGTGCTATAATCGTATGGAGCAAGCGCGATGTTATTCTTGAGGCGAAGAGGAAGATCGGGCTGAGGATTATCATTTATCAGCACATCTTCCTGACTGTCGACTTATAAGACATACGTTGGATATAAAATGACGCGCAAACGAGATGAGGCCGCCTTCTTTCTCCACATGACCTACGGCGGTATCGCGTTCAAAATCACTGTTCGCAATATAGGGTCTGTCTCCCCAGATGTCACGCAGGAACCTAGACTCCTCGAGACTCCGGGTTGCCTCGGGAGCCGCCGCGGTCTTGACGATCTTGGGTTCAATGATATGGAGATACGCCAGATCAGGATGAGTGTCGCGGACGCTGGTGACGGCTGCAGTGAATGTGGGGACGGGATCCGCCATTCTCATTCCTGAGGGGCTATCGTCGGGGGTGTTACGCGGAGACTGTGACTGACCGTGCTTACCTTGGAATGTAGACCATGGGCTGAAGCGGATGCCCACTTTGTTTGAACCAACTGCCTTCACAACAGTATCTGTGACCTCAAGAAGGAAGCGCAAACGATTCTCCACGGAGCCGCCGTATTCGTCTGTCCGGTTGTTGGCGTTGGTTTGTAAGAATTGGTCAATGAGATAGCCGTTCGCAGCGTGGATCTCCACGCCGTCGAAACCCGCCTTCGAGACGGCGTTCTCGGCAGCGCTGGCATAGAGCTGCACGTACTCATTGATTTCTTCAGTCTCCAGTGGGCGCGGAGTTTTCCCGCCTTCAAGAGGCACG